TAATAAAGTCATTTATGACAGTAGAAAGGTAGATACGTCCTATTTTATAAGTCGAGTGAAATGATTTGTTTACCTAATCTATCATTTAACAATGCGTTTCACCTGTGTAACCAAATTAGGGTTAAAGGTAACAATATAAACCTAATCAAATGTTTTGATTATTATTGAAGTAATTAACCACTAGAGTATACAATATCATTATTGTGGCAATCTAAACTAAACGCTAATAACCACAATGTGAAACCGTATTTATTTTAATGAGGGATAATTCACTAGACTGATTTGAAACATTTATAACATTAACAAAATATATTTTTACTTAAATGTTAATATGAATGTAGCAGGTGGTATCCTTTATAAAGACAAATTATTTAAATCACTACGAACTCATTTCTAGACTTATTTAGATAATGTAGTATTTGAAAAACAGCACGAAAATATGCAATAACAAAATCCTTGCTCACTGATTTATCCAACATATTATATACTTAATTAAAAAAGATCCCAAACAATATTAAATTTATTGAAATAAAAGAGAGGGATTTATCCAATATGTGTACTCGTAGCACGTTCAGCGCATATTTCCATAATTTCATGAAACGTCGCTTCATATCTCAATAAAACCCGAACAATATTTAACGTACGTAAGTATCTAGTCTCAAATCTCCAATAGCATTATTTTTCCAATAAATCTCTTGTCATCGGGAATTTAATAAAATCTTTTATTGAATAATGGGTCCCACTTGATGCTTCGATATCTCTGTATATTGGAAACGAGATACTAGGCTTTCATTCACTCTTTACACCCTCAGATAAATGTATATATATACCTGTATATAGGTATATAACTGGTTATTTATGTCTATCTGTCTTCCACAAATCCTATTTCACTAATCCAATAAGCTACAACTTTAAAAGTAGAGAAGAAATCTTAAAATAAAACAGATGTGAAGCACTTATAACTCTAACATTATGCGAATGTAAGATGTACATATAATATGTAAGATGGAAATAGAAAAAGTTTTTCTTTAACAAATTTATTTAGTGTAATTTTACATAGGTAAACTTTAACGATCGATGGCGAGAGTCGCCTATCGAAGTATGAAACGTCTTTGTATGACGTAGATACAAACCAGTAAATTAAAAATCACACGAAAATATAACTTCTGATCAACGTAGTTTTTTACCTGAAGTAACATAATTACTAACAGCCAACTATAAATTGTACTTACATAGTTATTTTGAGATTAAATGTAACTAGTTATTTAACCTTCAGCTAAATAAACACTATCTACTTTTAAGCTTTAGAGAGAATCTATGTAGATAAACTTAGCCGTGAATGTAACAAGCGGAATTGTTTAAAAATACTTTAAATAAATACTCCCTTCACCTATTTCTTACAGAAAACAAATCCTTTTGGGCGATCAGAATTACAAAAGGACAAACCCAGACACAGGATACCTCGATATCTAGGTTCCAATAGAGCAAGTACTTTAGTACTAAAATAGATAAATCGATATCAGGTAGATCTAGATACGCCTTTGATTCCAGACGTTTAAGTTTAATATTGAACTAGGTTCTTATTTTAGTATGAAAAGGACTACGCAATATTATCGACACATTTATTCCGTTTAAGGATTAGATAGACGTTTATGTATTATTTAAAACATTTTCATATTTGGCGTTTATACGATATTACATTAGTTTGACATAATCTTTAGTAAAACCGAGTTACTACCGAATATGTTTAAAGATAAACGATTGACTCATTAGACTCGTAACCACAGCAACTAAGCAACAGGTCCTATGTTTTATTTGTAACAGAATTTAGATTTCTTATCAATTTATAAGTTACAATCGAATATGACCCTTATTAGTTTTATTAAGTAGTATTAATATAGCCCTAACAAAATAATAATAAAATTAGCTTTGATATTCTACTTTCGTAAATCGTATCCGAAATCAAGATATACGTTATCACCTATCTACATCATAAACGGAAACAACTCAACAAAATACAAGCTTAAGCTTTTCAAAGGAAACTGAATCCAAACGTCTTAGAATAGAGCACAAAAACTTGATAAACATCTATATAGAAGAGACATTAAAGGATAGGTTTAAATAAACCTTACCACAGTGAGGTCAAAAAGATAACGCTATCGTTGTCTTTATGTAATATGTAAGGTAAAATAAACCTAAAGGTAATATCTAAAGCCGCAATAAAATGAACCTTTATGATAATATTGTACGCCATGTTAGGTAAATACAGTCGCGCATGCCGCGGAAATATGAAACTACGTTGAACTAACTCAAGATTTAGTATTGGTTGTTCAGTGTACCTGTTTGTGTGCTAAACTACCTTACTGAGCTTCCAACTTGTATTATGTTGTAGCTCAAAACTAATGTGCTTAGTTCATGTACTATTTATTTATATAAAGCCCGTTATGAGATTATTATATGCTTATGGTTTACAAGTAAATATTACACGACCATATCATTACTAGTTGGCTAACTAATACCCTAAATCGTCTTTAATAGAAACCAAGCAACTTATAGAAGTAATTTAGTATTGAAGCAACGAAATCTAGCTCAGACATGAACATGTCTAGACTTCATAAATTTGGTACCTGTCGTGATGTAGAGATGGACAACTTATAGTGGAGTTGGTACATCTTGATTTTTTGTTCAAACCTAGTTCTACTCGCAACCACCATTTCAACCAGAAGATATAAAAAATAAAAAAAAGCGACCTATACAATACTGAACGAATGATATATTTTATTTCTAAACAAATCTGTTTGTAATATCTTCTTTAGACAGATGTTTTATTTTACGTAAACTGTGTCCAGTATAAAGGTTACATAACATTCAAATCAATACAAAGCTTAGACCAACGACTAGCATTTATTCTCATCGAAGCGACACACGAATTTTCGTCATAAGCTCCATCTACTAAACCTTTATCAGTGTTAGCTATTCAAAAATCACCTTTATTGTCTAGGGTATAAAGCGCTATGGATCGTTACACACGTGAATCGTTTCACAAGGGTTATTATCGTGACTGAAGCTTTGTTAATCCTTTCTATTCTGTAGCAATCGATCCGTAGGATTCGTGCGTGACAATGTAATATAGGGCTTTAGAAATGTTTTGAAAAATGTGATTTGAACACCTAAACTCAGCTTAGGCTACCTAGTCTAGGTTGTGACGAACTTCTCAAAACTTTTAACTTCTAACGTTGTAAGTAATTAACTTAACTAACGTTAACTTAAAATATGTTAAATTTCTTAATTTCATTTATTAGGAAATCAACACATTTTCATTGAATAGGTTCATCATCATAAGCTAATAGTACAGGTTTGATGAGGAACGTACGTATGGCAATTCTATCTTATGATAATTTAACTAAAATAATTTACAAAAGCAACATATTTACAAAACACCACCCATTGAGGTCACCTTTGCAAAATTATAGATGTGATATAAGGAACTATTTATCTCTCTTTGTATGTATGTCATTGTATTTAATTTAGCTTATGTGTTTAAAATTCTTCAAAAAATGACATTAATGCCACAGACCTTTTCACTAGTCGACTTTAAATAATGCATTATGGCTTTCTCCTGGCTTCAATTAAAATCACAAAACAATATTTCAATGAAACACGGCAATAAACTTTGCAGTTCTCACTAAGTAAACCGTCCAAACACAACAAACAGCTGCCTAGTAGGGCAAGCATAGGTCTTCGATCAACAAACTTCCCCCACTGACTTCTAAAACTTTCCATGTACTTATCTCCAAATGTTGCAGTCAAGTCCTCCCTATGCTTCGTCCCGTGTTCGATTCCCAACTGAACTTTGTTGTCACGTTAACTTATCTTTGCACGTGACTTGTTTATGATTTAAGAAAATCGGATTTAGTTTTATGATTTTCCCAAAAATTACTAGTATGACGTCACATCAGATTGAAAATGGTTCCTTTTTTATCTTACCTCTTACTGACTAAAAACCACCCCGATCCTACTCCTGCACTTCGAGCCGGAGCCCCGGCAACCCGTTAAGTCTTCCGCGGCTCCGTTGAAAATGGTACCTAGGTTAAGGATAACATAAAAGAAATCCATATTTGGACTGAAAATTTCAAAATGAAATAATTGTAATAGATTTAGCCCATTGTATTTGTTTTTGTATGTTAACTGTTTTAATAGTCTCTGGGTACGGAAATAAGTTTTCTTAAACAAAACCAAAATAAAATTACGGCAACTTGAATCTAAAAATATCTGAAGGCAAACAGAAACTCGGCTGTGCATCTGTATGACTTCATTAAATCCTTAGTTTGTGTCACAGACGGACGGAGCGGAGGCTGCGTTGGGTTTACGTGTAAAGTTTTCCTCATAAGCTCACCGCAGGGCGCTCCCCTATCAATTGCCGTGATCCCGTGCCCCCGCGCACCGCCTCCCCCCTGCACTGCCCAAGCAAGCCCCACTAATGATTCCACTTGTTAGGGCTCAGCACGGACCTTCGCCCGTGTCACTTGGTGAATAACAAATTCCTAGCTGATCCCACTTTGCCACCAGAACTTACAAACGTACGTCATAATATGAAGTTTGAGTGTCCCATTGTAATGTTTCTGTTGCAGAAGTTATCTTTAATTTCTCGTGGCGGTTTGTGTCATTCTCACCTGAGTTGGTTTCGGCAGATTTAGAGATCAATCTTATAATGTTCATACCAGTCCTACAGTTGATAAGTACCTAGATACATAATTAAGTACTATAGGTTTCAGCTAGTCATTAAAAAATCCATTAAACTAAAGTAAAGGTTACAATATTCAAAAAACATTTTCAATTTGACTCTCAATAATAATTCTTAAGTGAAAAAGCGTTTGAACTGAACATGAATATTAAAAACACAACACATGCTCGGTAGGAACATAAATTCCAGTTTTAATCTGCCAGACTCATACTCGGCTGACATTCAATATCAGAGATTAATTACATGCAAAACTTACTGTCGAACTGTTGCGTAGCTTGTGCGAGGAGTGAGGCGAATACTCTGTCGGCGAGGGGTGGGGGCTGCGGGGGGCGGTCGTCGTCGCTGCTGCTGTACCTGTCGCCGCCCCACTCCAGGGAGCGCTGGCGCCGCACGCCGCCAGGCCCACTCGGCGCACTGGGCAGCCCGCCCGACAGCCCGCTCAGCGAGCCGGCCTTAGCCCGCCGACCTGGCCGCTCCATTCTCGACGTGCTCATATCATTGTGTCACCACATCTGAGGACAAATTAAATAATAAAACTAACTGCATCAGAATTCGAGTGAAGCAATTCGATTTCCACCGCGGTTGACTAGATTACACAATATCCGTAAGCCGTTGACTGCCGATAGAAAATTGTTGAAGGCAAAACCTCCGATAACGTAGTTCACCGGTTAACCTACACGGCGGTTAACGTGTTAAAATACTAGTTTTAAAATGTGCATAGTCGTGACAAAATACGCATTAATCTATTTAAAGTGTTGTCTAGCACGTAGCAATCACAAAGTAACCAAAAGAAACGTAATTGTAACTTTCACAATCAACTTAATGATATCATTAGACCCCACTAGTCGAAACATGGATTGTTTACATTTATGTTTAGTACCTAAAACCTCTTACAACCGTGCTCAGTAATAAGCAGGTACATTCGTTCATCATACTGTATGGAAAACTCTTCCCACAAAGCAAACAAAATGGCCTTGCCTCCCCAAGAATGAAAAACGATTTACAATCCAAAAAGTTTAGCACTCGTTAATTCGAGATCTACCACTGCCCGCTGAAACATAAGCCCTTGCTCAAACAAAAGAAATCGACACGATATTTTATCAAAGCAGTTACAGCGTCGTGAACGGAAAAGAACAACTGTAATAAAGAGCCTACAAGTCGTTTGGTTAGCGACCCTACATAAATAGGAAGTTTGCGCCAGAGGGCGTGCGTGTTGGAGTCCTAATCCAGTGGATTGCGCCGCGGTGTCGCCCGCGTACCGCGCTTTCCAACATCATTTCTCGTATTGACTTAATTTGTACAAGCTCAGTTCTACTGCCCGGCGACAATTTAAAATACAATTTCATTGTTGCATCAAGCAAACGGAATGTAACCCTCAATTATACTGCAAGACTAAACAAACAATCAACAGATGTTTCTATGGGTACATACCGACATATTTATGAGGAGGCTTATATGGATGCCGATCCAGGAAACAAGTCGCCATCAATGGTAATAAATACAATAACGCAACACTAATCCATAATAATGTCTCTGATACGAGGAAAATGTGTGAAACTATATTTGAGGGGACGGTGCTGTGAAATTAATTGGATTTTGGTAAAGATAGCTTTACCTTGAAAGCTTTTGTGTATTGGAGATTTTATGTACCGAAGTTAAGTACCTTCACGGTAAGTTTAGTTTGTCTTGTTTAATCTACCAAAATTAATACAGTATTACGAGAGCTGTGACCTCTGAATATCTACAAAGAGCATTGGTGCATTACCCTCTCGGAAAAATTGTGTTGATTTGTACTTTTTCATCATATCACTAGTTTTCCTTACACAGGTATGAAAGACAGACTACCGTACTGAATCTTGAACCCACACAGAGTGCAAAGACTTACAAATGTGCTGTTCCACAGTTTAAAAATTTAAATGAACTATGTATCTTCCATTTAACCTATGTATATTTGGCTTAAAACTCGCCATATTTCCATTGAACTAAACAACCCTTCTACCCACAGGAAATAACAGAAGTTTTAAACAAAATTCACAACCAAAATAAGTATTTACAAATCCTCAATTATCATCAAGGAATTATTTATTTTGTTCCCTTAACGATAAGATACTAAATCTAATGAGTTTTCGATTAATGTAAATACGAAGTAAGCATTGTATTTAAGGCGGGCAATTGTTAAGGTTTACTGCACTCATTTCTCATTTCGTATCGGCAGAATAAACAGAGGCGGTTTCATTATAGATTCGCCGACATTCCACAGAGATACGAATTGTTTAGACATTATTCAGATTTAATAAAAATTCTTTAGCAAAACTTTATGTTAAGAATTCATCTTTATGGTTAGTTGAAAACCTAAAATATGAAGATTAAGATGTTTTATTGTAATTTGAATATATTTGGATTACCGTCAAAGTATAAACCTTAGACAAAAAGAGCATAAATTTAATTGTTTATGGCTTTATCATACAAAGGCATAGACTATAATAAACATAATAGCGCATAGTTCAAATATAACCATGAATTACCTACTTTATTCACCAAAACCGTGTTTCATGTGTTCGAAAAATCACGAACTCGTACGAAAATCTTTACAAACATAAAATAGAAAAGTATTTCTTAATTCGATCCTCACTTTACCTTAGTAAATACAAGAGCCGTTATTAGATTAGCTCTCATTAGATTTCCATCTTAATTCTATTTGCCCGTGTTTACTGATTACTTTTTGTATCGCGCTATTAATTAAAGATTAATTAATGAGTCCTGTCTACCGCGCCGTGGTTCGTCGTCTACCGTCTGATGGACCGCTCGGTTTAATATAAAGTAGGCTGTTGTTTACTCGGCTGTGTCGCAACTCACAGCGTTAATAAATACCAGTTTCCCTTCAGACAAGTCTGTTCTCTTTTTATTCAATATTTACTTTTATTGTGACGGGATTATTGGACTTTATTAAATTTATTACTTTTTATTTAGAGTGAAATGACGGTCTACCTAATGTTCGGAATGAAAAAGATTCCGGGTTTATTAATTCGGATGGACTCTTGCTATTTTTTCTTTTTAATTTTAGTTGTAAATAATATTTTGTTGCGCGTATGCAAGGGAAAATAAACCTTGTAAACCGATAATCATAATATTACAATAAAATATTGTTTGTATTGCTATTACATTCTGTTTGAAGAATTCTTGCAGTTTATTTCTCGATACAAACTAATATCCTGTTGCAAATACATGATAGATACATTATTTGTTTTGTTGGGAATTCACAGAGAATTTCATTTTAAACCGTTTGAGTTTTCATACGAATTTGTAAACATCGTTGTTCAAGTTTAACCTTTGTAATGGCATTGGTGTCAGACTTATTAAGTTACTCTTGCATGGCTGCGCCTTTTGTTGTAAAATTCCTTAAAATTGGATATTTTCTGTAAATTCAGTAAAGTGTTATTTCAAAATTATATTCACAAGACAAGTAGGTATACTAACGGCTAGTGTCTATAATATGTTTCATATGTTTTTGCTTTTTCATAGCAGCTAAATGTTTTCCGTCCAACACATAAACATTTTCAAACAACGGTACTCAAAAAAAGGTTATTTAGAATTCACTAATAAAATCAAAAAATTTAAACCTGGGTCTACACTATCATGTACGATAAAATTCCGTGAAAAAAACTGTCCTCACCGAAAAATAAAACCAAACGAATTCAACTTAAAACTATTCCACTATCACCGAGCCGCACGGAACGCGATTGTGTAAACAGCTGGAAACATTCGAAGACCACATTTAATACTTACTTAGTGACTGTTAAACCGAAAATTATTAAGGTCAAGTTATCTATTGCAGAGGCCAGGTGTAAAACCCAGATAACAGTTAAACCCTTCAGGAATTTTATGTTTGGCCCTCACCTTCCTTGTTTTCACGGGCTATCAAACTGAGGGGGGGACGGAGAATCCCCCTTACCGACCCATTTCTTCTCCCAAATTTCCAATACATGGGTTTATTGTTTTGTTTTTCGAGAAACTTTTTACTTATACCATGTTTGTATGGGTTTTAAAACTGGGGAAATATTGGTGAGTTTGTAATATGAATAAATATTATTCGATATTGTGAGGGTTTTGAGGGGTGTGTGTTATGTAGTACAAATTTGATTATGTGGTTAAAGTAATTCTTGATGGTGACGTTACAATTTTTTTTAATATCATTTATAATGAACTAACTACAAAACAAACATCTCAAGTTTGAACTAGTTTAGGGAACAGAGAGTATAGTTCCCTAAGATCGGAAAAGGAGGATCCTCCGACCAGGCGAGGTGATCGTGCCTGGCGGGCTTTCTGCCCAACAGTTGTTCGTTGGGATTTTCTATCCGTGTTTATTCGCTTGTAAACTTTGCATGTGCGATGTAGGATTCTTGTGACGTCATCCGTTGACATGTGGCACGCGTCGCCACATCACTCCCTCCCAAGACCGGAGGTCGATTCCGCTGAGACTGCTGTCGATGCTTGAGATAAGCGGTGCCAGAGCCAGTGTAGAACGTCCCTAGTTCCAGTGGGTCGGAACCGTGCCGCTGAGTGCCCAGTGAGTCGGGTCAGCGGTGCAGGGTGAAACTCCAGTGAGTCGGAGAGATGCGTTCGCAGTGTCCCACGGTGAGTCGGGGAAGAGATGCTGCGAGGGTAGGTGCGTAGTGGCCGGCATCTGCGTTGACGGGAGGAGGTGTCCTTCAGACCGTGTGCAGAAGTGCTGTGCCTAGACGCTGGTGAGGCCGTAGGGAAGAACCAGGCTGCACAACTTCGTTGCAGGTAATGGTGGTCCCTGATGAGGCCGAGGATGCTGGTTGGCTGCGACTTGGTTACCGCTCAGCGGAGAAGTGATGAATGAGAGGGATGGCGATACGGATGACGGTGCTAATCTGCTCCGTGAAGTGAAGGTTGTTTCCAATCACGTCGGGGTCACCACTTTAGGGAACAGAGTGTATAGTTCCCTAAGATCGGAAAAGGAGGATCCAAGGAGGAGGGCAGAAAGCCCGCCAGGCACGATCACCTCGCCTGGTCGGAGGATCCTCCTTTTCCGATCTTAGGGAACTATACACTCTGTTCCCTAAACTAGTAACCAATGCGTTTTAAATCCAAGATTTGTTTCCTTGCAAATTACGTACATAGTTACACATTCTACTGCAAAAAACTAGGTACAATAACAACATTTTTGTTACTCTTCTAAATATCATAATAATATAATATTAATCCATAATGCTCGACAATGATATCGCACGTTTTATTTCAACAAAATGCACGTACGTTTTGCACTTGATCGGCTTTCCCATTCATCATTTCCGAGCGATAGCAACATTAAGCCGATGACACGCGTATGATGTCCATTGGCGGAACATAATAGTAGCTAGCTAGTGGTATTTTGAGGAAAGTTCATGAATATAGAACCTTGCTTTTTAATGTTAGTTGAAAATGTATATTTAAAAGACTACATTTTTGTTTC